TAGCCACTCTCTTAACCTCTAAAACTGCAGATTAGTTTTGCCAGTTTTGGAACTTTATGTAAATGGAATCATACAGTATGAAAATTTTCATGTATGATTTCTTTTTCTTTTTCTTTTTTTTTTTCTTTTTTGAGATGGAATTTTGCTCGTTGCCCAGGCTGGAGTGCAATGGCTTGATTTTGGCTCATTGCAACCTTTGCCTCCCAGGTTCAAGCGATTCTCCTGCCTCAGCCTCCCAAGTAGCTGAGATTACAGGCATGCGCCACCATGCCCGGCTAATTTTGTATTTTTAGTAGAAACAGAGTTTCCCCATGTTGGCCAGGCTGCATATATGGTTTCTTTTACTCAACATTATGTTATGATGTGATGTGAGATCCATGCTATTTGTTTATTCTGCTGATGATGGACATTGCATTGTTCCTGAGTTTTGGCTATTATGAAAGTGTTGCTATGAACATATTTGTACATATTTAAAAAAAATTCTCAAGGTGATTTTGCTGCATACCTTTGAGAAATCTCTCTTACAATTACATTTTAGTATTATAATATTTAGATCTCTGCCTTTTCTATTTCTTGCTAAATTGGTCCTATTTTGAATCCAATTGATTCAGAATTTGTGATTTAGTCATTACTGTTTTCACATTAGTGTCCATGTAAAAGGCATTATTGAAATGCCAGGGGTTTGGTCTATGTCCTATTGCTCACCGCACAGACAGGCAATCACTGAGACAAGTGTTGCCAGGGAAGAAGGCTTTAATCAGATGATGTCAGCCAAAGGGATGGGGGATAAATCTCAAATCATTCTCCCTCGACTTACTAAAATGGGAGGTTTATATAGTGGGGAAGAAACATAGCTACATATGGGAAAATAAGAATTAGGGAGCAAAAGAAAGCCATCAAGATGAGTGAGGGTTCTGCCATCTCTCTGCGTGGCATGATGTAAATTTTAGTTGCTTGATACTCTCTGGGAGGCCTGACGATGGGTTTCCTGAGGAAGGAATTCAGATAAGACAAATGTGAGTTTCAAGCTTTAAGACCAGGAGGGTCAATTTCTATGTTTATTCATAAAGACCATAAACTCACTTCCATGGAACAATTATGCTGATTTCAAAGGGATTTTTGATAAGGACAAAACAACTAACCTTAAATTTCTTTTTCTTTTCTTTTTAATTGCAACAGCATAGCATAACATGACTTTTACTAAGTGTCTAAGCTTATTTTTAATAAATAAAAGCAATGTTAAAAGCTTAAAACTATTTTTAAAGTCTTATATTTTAAAATTGCTTATTTGAATCTGTGTTATTAGAATAATCAAATCTTAATGAGTGCTTCCTACAAAATACTCATTTTCCTTTTCTATTTCATTTTATAAATTAATATCTTACTCTTCTATGCTTCTTAAACTCTACTCCTGAACCTGTGAATGCATTATCTGCTCTGTTAGGTCATAGATTTCTTGAAGGCAGAGATTGTGTCTTGTTCAGTTCATCCTTTTATTTAGAGTGACTAACCCAGTGGGAGAACTTCATAATTAGGTTGGTGTCAGATTTAGGCAGTTTCTAATTTAAAAAACTGACTCCTCCCAACGCCCCCCAAAACCAAACAACCCTTCAGAAGGTGGTTAGCAGATGACATTTGAATCAAGTCATTAAATGTTCATTATTTGCTATGTTTCAGACTTGTATGTAAAGCCAGGAAAAATCTTCCTATTATAAGTGTTTATATATAGTCATTAAACTTTAACAGCAACTGTCCAGCTGTTTCTTCTTTTTTTTTTTTTTTTGGTTGTTTTCTGTTAGTGTTGTTCCCTCAACTCCCTTGGAAGGTGAGGCAGCATTAAAGCTGCACACAACTGTAATGAAAGCTTAGAACCAGGTAACACTCAGAAAAGGGAATTGTTGCTGGGGTGAGAGCATCACAGTACTCCTGGAAAGTAGTTCACAAAGTTTATAGAAGCTTGATGCAGAAACGGGCAGAGAGAGTTTTGGAGAGTTCTGTAGCCCACAGAGTGAGTCAGTGTAGTGCCAGAATTAGAATGGAATGGAATGTGAAAAACTGTGTGATTTAGGAGGAAGCAGCCCTAGGCATGAGGAGGTCTTAGCCTTGCTTTGCTTTTGGACAGCTGTGTGATTGTTGCAAGTCACTTCACCTCATTTGACCTCAGTTTTTTTTTATCTTGAGAAGTAGGGAGTTGGCCTGCATGAGTAGTCATGTCCTTTCTAACGCAGGCAAGACTCTGATCATTCAGTTCTGGGAGTGCTCATGTTAGAAGACAGCAGGAGTGAAGCTAAGTGATTAACTGGAATATGTGAAAAGCCAGGTTGGGATCATTCAGTCTTTCTATCCAATCGCTTCTTTTCCTTCAATATAGTCAGGCTCTAGTCTTCTTTTAATAGTGGTGACCAAACGGCCAGAATGCCCTTTACCTTCGCCTCCTTTGATGCTGAAGATTTTGATCAAATATCAACCTAAGTTATACAACAAAGGTTTTAAAAAATATTAGACTACGTTTCACACAAAATTTTATCATTAATCAAAAGCCTGTGAAATCCCCCCAACTCAGACCATCTTTAGTTTGTTGGTTTTCTTTTCTTTGTTAGTAGACTTGTTACTATATGGGTAATGTGAGCCATGTGTAGAGAAAATATGCTGGACATCAAGATGTTTACCAATATATGCAAAGGTAGCTTTCTGAGATGTGAGGCGTTATTGAATTTTCAGACACATCCAGGACATCCATTACTCAAAAAACACCCACCAATTAAGGCATAATGCTCCTGAAAGCACTCTGGTAGTCTCTGATTACCCTGAAATTCATTTGAAAATACAAAGCATGTCTCAAACCCGGTTCACAGATGCCAGATGAGAACTGTGAGTCAGGTACAAACTTGGCAGAAATAAAACGTAAGAATAAAATGGACTATAAGCTGAATAACGCGGGAAAGTACCCACATAGCAGGCATGTGTTTGATCATCTATCATCAGTTGAGGGGCAAGTTAGAAACGGTAGATACAGTAGAAAGAGCACTAGTTAGTTTTGGGCCAAATATATGTGCTGTTTGATTCTGCAGTTTTCTTTTCTGAAAAAGAGGGAATGATCACATCTACCTTGCAGATTGTAGGATTAAAGCTAACATATGTCAGATATTTAGCACACATTAGACACATTTTTTTAAAAGTTACATAATGTTATCTTTTTGAATTAGGTTTTATAGGCTAAAAAAGTCTATTTTAACTGGCTGGGAAAGTGTTAAAATAAATTACACCATTCCATTCAATGCAGCAATATTTCTTCATGCTTATGGTGTGCTGTATCTGATGATAAAAGCACGAATAAGAGGATTTACATTTCTATCTTGGAAATACACAATATCTATAGGCAAAGAGACAAAAGAAAAAGTATTTCATTTGAGAGGCATAGGTCAGTGGTGAGATCTACATATTCTCTTGATACTCTGGAATAGATTGGGTGGGGAAGGCAAGATACCTGTTCTTAGGAAGTCACTGTCTTACTTTGGTTCTATATTATCTGTGGCTCTACACTGTCAAAGAGGACATTGAACCTGGTGATACAGTTTGGCTCTGTGTCCTTACTCAAATTTTGTCTCACATTGTAATCCCCATAATCCCCACGTGTTGAGGGGGGGACCTAGTGGGAGGTGATTGGATCATGGGGGCAGTTTCCCACACACTGTCCTCATGATAGTGAGTGAGTTCTCACGAGATCTGATGGTTTTATAAGTGTTTGGCAGTTCCTCCTTTTCTCTCTCTCTCTCCTGCCTCCTAATGAAGAAGGCACTTGCTTCTCCTTCTCCTTACGCCATGATTGTAAGTTTCCTGAGGTTTCCCCAGCCATGCGGAACTGTGAGTGAATTAAAATTCTTTCCTTTATAAATGACCCAGTCTCTGGTATTTCTTTATAGTAGTGTGAAAATGGACTAGTACACTTGGTGACATCAAAACTCCCAGCATCATTCAAGATTTATTGTTTCTTGAACGATATGAGTGATTGACTGAAGTGCCTCAAGTTCTGTAGTTTGCATGTGGCATGAGTCAAAAGGGGGTGAGAATGTTAACAAGGGACATGACCCATGGGAATTTGCTGGGCATATCCTCAGTCGCAGAGCAATGAGGGGAGAGTACAGGCAAAAAGTATAAGCTGAACCAGCCACAACCTGTGGAGAACAATGAGATGGGATGATGTTTGCTTGGCTGCTAACTCGATAGTAAAGAATGTTAGCCTTTGGCTTCATTTTGCCTGAATAAAGGGAGTTCTACCACAAAGTGGGTAGGATTGTGTCCCCTCAAAATATAGTTAAAGTCCTAATCCCTCTACCTGTGAATATGACCTTGTTTGGAAATAGGATCTTTGCAGATGTAGTCAAATTAAGATGAGGTTGTACTGGCTTAGGATGGGCCCTAATTCAATGACTGCTCTCTTTAAAAGAAGAGGGAAATTTGGATACATACATGGATGATAAAGAGAAGAATGTGAAGATGGAGGCAGAGAGTTGAGTGATTTGTCTACAAGTCAAGGAATGTCAAAGTCTGCTGGCAACCACCAGAAGCTGAGAGAGAGGCGTGAAACAGATTTTCCCTGAGAGTCCTGAAATGAACCAAATCTGCCGACATCTTGATTTTGGACGTCTGTTCCCCAGAACCATGGGAGAATAAACTCCTGCTATTTAAACCACTCAGTCTATGGTAATTTCTTATGGCAGCCCCAGGAAACAAATTCACACCACTAAATGAAAATAGATCCCTGTCTATCAATATCAATATCAATATCAATAAATATCAATATCAACACCAAAATTTATATACAGGGATGATAATGACCTTAGTTTTCCAGTTCTTAATAGCATACTGAATAATTGTGCATGATTGCATTTCAGGTATGTAAAATAATAATTGTTTGTTCACTTATTTTCTTACAATCACCATTTTCTCCTTCTCCTTTTTTTTTTTTTTTTTGGTTTTAGATCATTATAGGTTTTACAATGGACTCTCTTGTTGCAGCAAACACCAAATTTTGCTTTGATCTTTTGCAAGAGATAAGCAAAGATGATCATCATAAAAACGTATTTTTCTCTCCCCTGAGCCTCTCAGCTGCCCTTGGTATGGTCCGCTTGGGGGCTAGAAATGAGAGTGCACATCAGATTGATGAGGTACGTGTCCACTAGGGTGCTACACAGGGTCCTAAACTCTGGGTCCACACTCAAAGTCAGATGCTAATCCCACTCAGGCAAGCCAAGGTGCTTATTGCACCCTGGGCTTGGTCAGAACCCATCCCGGTCTCTGAGTCTTTATTTGTATTTTCCCCACCTTACTTCCTCTTCGATCCTACCATTCTTAAAATCTCACTTAAACTTCTACCTTCTTTAGGGTGCTCCCCAACCTCATGTCTGGCAGCTTTTCTCATTCATCTCTATCTTTATCTCTGTATGCATGTCTGTCACTCTTTTACTCTATAATTACTAATACCAATATTGCCAGCAATTTTCAGTATGTGTATATGTCTTCTCTCTCACTCATTTCATTAAATAAATATTTATTAAGCACCACAAATGGTTTAATTGGCTAGACAGCTTGGTGTCCTCCTGGACTCTTTCTCTCTCACTTTATACCACCTTTGTTAGCAAATTCTGTTGGCTTTTCTTTTGAAATATATCCATAATCCAGACACTTCTCCCAGTCTCCTTGAGGTCTGAACCACCACCATCTTTTCTCACCTGGATACTGCAACAACTTCCAGATGGGTTTTCCTGCTCCCACTGGCAATCTATTCTTTGCACAGCAGCCCAAGAGACCCTTTTAAAACCTGAGACAGATAATATTTCTCATCTGTTCAAAAACCTGGATTTCTCATTTCACTTATGATAGAAGTTCAAGTCCTTACTTGAACTTAACTTAATGGAATAAGAAAGTAGTACACCAACTCTAAGTAGATGAATAAAGCAGAATGACCCCAGAAACACATTCTGTCTTAATCCATAAATTCTCCTGCTCCATGTTCAGGGGAGACAGCCTGATTTGTGCTCACAAGGATTTGTGCCCCAAGGATCTGGAGATCTGAATCCCAGATAAGCCCTGTGACTCCATCTCTCACTTTCATCCCTCCTCACTGTACCTGTCACACTGGCCTCCTGGCTTCCTTGGGTAAGCCATGCCCATATTATCTTGGGGCCTTTGCTCTGGGTCCCTTTGCCTGATGGCTCTTTCCCCTGGTAATTGACCTCAGCTCACTTTCTTCTTCAAGACTTTGGTCAGTGTTTATCTCCTCTACGGGGCTTACTTCGACCTCCTAATCTAGTGCTGTATCCTGAGCTCCAACCCCTAAGGGATACTTTTTTTCATGTGGCATTTTCCACTGTGTAACATACTGCATTCAGTAATTAATTACTATGTGTCTTGATTTTTGTATGCCTCCTCCACTAGAATATAATCTTCTAGAGGGCAGGGATTTTTGTCCTAGAACAGTGCTTGGCTTAGAGTAGGCACCTAATAAACATTTCTAGAACAAATAAATGAAGGTGATAAGAACAAACCCCCAAATAAACTACAAGTTCCCGTGGTTGGCCTTATACTTCCTCGGGTGTAGCACATAGTGCAGGGGTTATGCACAAATCAGGCTGTTTCCCCTGAACATGGAGCAGTAGAATTTATGGATTAAGACAGAATGTGTTTCTGGGGTCATTCTGCTTTATTCATCTACTTAGATTTGATGTATTATTTTCTTATTCCATTAGCAAAACTTAGCTTTAGAGTGTAGTTTGCATCTTGCAGGGCAGAATTCAGATGTTCTTTCTTAGGCACTTGAGGGCACCTGCTGACCAACTAGGTCTGAGCAGTGCAGGATGTGACGCCTGTCTCCTACCTTTCTACCAGGCTCTGGATAACTTGTCTTTTGCTGTCCTCAGTCCCTTGATTCATGTGAAACTCTAGATCAGCACTGTCTAACACAAACATAATGAGAACCACATAGTAATTTAAAAATTCTTAGTAGCTGCATTACAAAAGTAAAAAGAAACAGGTGGGACTAATTGTAATAATACTTTTTTAACCTAGTATATGCAAAATATCATATCCACATATAATCAATATAAAAATTTTAATGAGCTATTTTTTTTATACTATATTCAAGATCTGGCGTGTTAGTTTGCACTTACAGTCAATTCAGATTGGGTATCTATGAAATGCTCCATAGTTACATTTAACTTGTGGATACCTCTATATTCTTTTAGTTTGGTTTTACTTATTCATAAATGTTCTCCCAGGGTAGCAGTTGGTACTTCTCCTCCATTCCACCTCCCAGCCCAAGGACAGAAGCATCCACTTTCCTTTAAACCGTTGTTGATTGTTTTGTTTGACTATGTAATCGTTGCCATTGTCTCACTACGAAAATGTTTCTGAAGTTATTCAGGCTTCCCTCTGTTCATACTGTCTGAAAGACCCCATCCCATTATCATGCAGGTACTACACTTCAACGAATTTTCCCAGGATGAAAGCAAAGAACCTGACCCCTGTCTGAAAAGCAACAAACAAAAAGTGCTGGCTGACAGCTCTCTGGAGGGGCAGAAGAAAACGACAGAGCCTCTGGATCAGCAGGTGAACCGCCACCATAGTAAACTCTTGCCCTTCTTATTTATAAACTGCTCATTCTGACTGTAGGATATTAGGTGATAGTCGCTTATCCCCAAACATTAGACTCTGGATACCATCAACAGCAATGACCTCAAGTGATCTGTGATTCCTTTCTGAGTATGGATCTCAGATGTCCTTGGCTATGAGCTAGTTTCCTAAAGAGTAGGATCTGGTATCTTCTGCTTATGATAAAGAAACCTAGATCATCACTGTGTCACTCATCTGTTTCTACAGGCCACAGGGCCCCAACATAGAGCATGGTCAAAGATAAAGGTGGTAAGGAGTAGGGTCAGCTGTGGAATTCCTACCGTCTCCCTCCACCTCTGCTTGTTCCATTTTGTGCTGAAATCTGCACTGACAGACAAAACTTTTATTGGGTGCCTCATGCCAGGAGAAGGAAACATATTCTCCAGGGTATGCATCCCCCTACCTTAGAAAGTTTAAAAGGAGGGTAGAGAGATGATTGTCTTTCTTTCTTTTTTTTTCTGAGATGGAGTCTCGCTCTGTCGCCAGGCTGGAGTGCAGTGGCGCGATCTTGGCTCACTGCAACCTCCGCCTCCTGGGTTCAAACGATTCTCCTGCCTCAGCCTCCAGAGTAGCTGGGATTACAGGCATGAGCCACCGTGTCTGGCCTCTTTTAAATATAAAGAAAACCTGGGTGTGTCAGTCTGAAATATAGTGAGCATTGCTGAGTTCCCCAGATGTGTTTTTCCTGGATGATCTTGATATAGATGTGGGAGCCATAATCTTCCACTGGGACCGCTTCTCACCCTCCATTCCTCTGCTCTTCCCAGCTCACTTCCCCTGCATGGTAACAGAGACAACTGACATCTTACTAAGAAGCTCTATCTTGCTTCTGTACAAAACACGCATCCTTTAGTTGTGTTTAGTTCTTCTGATAGACACTGTGAAGGTCACATTTTGTTTCTGCTTTCCTTAGGCTGAGTCCTTAAACAATGAGAGTGGGCTGGTCAGCTGCTACTTTGGGCAGCTTCTCTCCAAATTAGACAGGATCAAGACTGATTACACACTGAGTATTGCCAACAGGCTTTATGGAGAGCAGGAATTCCCAATCTGTCAGGTGAGTTGCACACAAATGGTGACAAAAGCTTCCATGTAGCATACTATTTAAAAATCAGGGAGTAGCTGGGTTACTCACCTGCCATCTAGAACACAACCTCTTTGATAGGATGATGCGCTGTGGACTGGTGAGGTGTCCAGGACCTCCTTCTTTCAGTCCCACACTTTTGTTCTCTTCCCAGTGTTCAACGTGAGCATCGTGGGTGGAATACAGTGGGTGAAAAAGGGTTGTGTGAGTAATGGAGACTTAGGAGCATGTGTGGGCTTGGTAATGGCATCCTCTCCTACTGTCTTCCCCAGTCAAGGTGCCTGGTTGCTGCGCTTTTCTCTCCCTTATCTGTTGGGTGCCCCCAAGACGTTTCTGTGGAATCTCCTTTTGTGCCAGGATCATGCTACCCCTGCAATGCAATCGTGTTCACTATGCTCTTTCGAGAGTGGGGTAGTGGGGGAGTGGAGAAGACTGCATTTTGGCATTTGGAGCTGAAAGGCACAGGACTTGTCTCTGTGGCTAAACAGCTTTGTACCTAGAGCAAGCTGTGTCTCCATCTGGGCTTCAGTTTCCTCTCGAATTACTAGAAGGAGCCATGTACTAAACAATAAATGTGGGGGATACGACCAATGGTCAAGATGTGACATGGCTGGTTAGTGAGGGACTAGCTAGGGGTCCGGTGGCCTCCTTTGGCCAAAATAAGTGTGCTCCCTTGCAATGAAAGTAAGATTTTTCATGCTGGGTTTTTAAAAACTAGCTTTTTTTTATGAGCTGTAAATTCACATATTAAACAAATCAACATTAAAAGTATATAAACCAATGGGTTTGGTATATTACATTACCGATTTTTTTTAATTATGGTAAGATACACATAAAATTTACCATTTTAACCATGTTTATGTGTACATTTCAGTAGCATTACTTACATTCACAGTGTTGTGTAACCATCACCTTATCTATTTCTAAAACTTTGTTTCTTATCACTCTAAACAGAAACTCTGCAACCATTAAGCGGGGGGTTAATTCTTATAAACAGAAGCATTTTCCAGCCAAGTCTCTCAAGTTACTTGATATTTACCTTGTGAAGGCTCCACAGATGGGTTGTTGAAATAAAAGGATATCCAGCAGGAAAGCCTTGTCCTGCTGTAACTATAGACTGTTCATGAATAATGTTCAATATCCTCATTTGCAACTATAAAAACTGAAATATCTCTGGCTAGTTTAAGACTGGGGATGACTAGAAACTGTCAGGCCTGTCCCTGCAATGTGAAATGACCAGGCTCATCTTTCTTGGGAGACTTCTCAGGAGAGCCTTACTCCTATGAGCATCGCTGCCTGATTTTATTGCACTATTTCCCTTTTATTCCAATTGAACAGGAATACTTAGATGGTGTGATTCAGTTTTACCACACGACAATTGAAAGTGTTGATTTCAGAAAAAACACTGAAAATGCCAGACAAGAGATTAACTTCTGGGTTGAATGTCAATCTCAAGGTAAGAAAGCCAAAAGCACGGGAGCTGGTATTGGTTTCCATTTAAAAGAAAATTGGTCTGCCTAGCTTTGCAGATTGCTGGGTTACTGGAGGCCAGAGGTTCACATATGTGGACTGTGTTCAAAGCATGGTTTGCAGAATGAGACACCATCTCACACCAGTCAGAATGACTATTATTAGAAACTTAAAAAACAACAGATTCTGTCAAGGCTTCAGATAAAGGGGAACACATACACTATTGGTGGGAATGTAAATGAGCCATTGTGGAAAGCATTTGGAAATTTCTCAAAGAAGTTAAAACAGAGCTATCATTCGACCCAGCAATCCCATTACTGGGTATATATCCAAAGAAATATATATCATTCTACCAAAAAGACATATACACTCATATGTTCATCACCACAGTATTCACAATAGCAAAGACATGGAATTAACCTAAGTGTCCATCAGTAGTGGGTTGCGTAAAGACAATGTGGTACATATACACCATGGAATACTGCACAGCCATAAAAAAGAATGAAATCATGTCGTTGGCAGTAACGTGGATGGAAATGGAGGCCATAATCCTATGAATTAACACAGGAACGGAAAGGCAAACATTGTGTGTTCTCACTTATAAGTGGGAGCTAAACATTGAGGACACACAGGCATAAATATGGGAAGGAACAATGGACCCTCCAGATACTAACTGGGGGCAGGGAGGGAGAGAGGAATGGGTTGAAAAACTACTTATTGGGTACTATGTCTACTGTCTGTGAACAACATGCCCATGTAACAAACCTGCACATGTACTCCCTGTATCTAAAATAAAAGTTGAAATTAAAAAACAAAACAAAACAAAACAAAACAAAAAAGCATGGTCTGAATAGCATCAAACAGTTAAACTGCTTGGATATTGCTGTTATTTATTATTGCAGTTTTGGTCTCTGGTCTCGCTGGCTCTGGGTGGGAAAGAAAGGAGAACACCAGCCTCATTAGGGCTGATCTTCTAGGTGAGGTTTACAGAATGCTCCCTTCTGCCAGTGCCTGTGTGAATTTGAAAAACAGAATAAACTCTCTTCCTTCCAGGCACAAAGTTAGTGACTTGAAGGGTCAGGTCAGGCTGCTGGACACAGATTAGACCCCTTTTTGATCACTGTTGTTGGGCTGGGGAAGATGTTCGTGTGCAGTGAAAAGTTTGGCGTGCATGAGAGAGCACAGGTAGTGCATTGCGTCTGCTGTCTTCAGTGAGACCATGACCCCAGGCATTTGCATACATTTTGAGTGGCTGGAGGCTGGGAAATGATAGTTGACTTATTTTAGGCTGTCCTTGGTACCAGAGCGACACTTTCGGTTCTTCCCTTCCATTTGGTGGCTTTCTCTCCCTGTCTCCTCTTTTTCTCACACTGACTTAGGGATGGGATACCCCTGCCTGGCCTTTCCTTGAAAGAAGTCTGTAAATTCCAAAATTATGGCTTCTTCCTTCTTTCATATGTCACAAAAATGACCATTCTTTCAAGGCTCTACTGAGCTGTCAAAAGGAAAGCAATTCATTAACGAAGTTCATATTAAGGCCTGAATATGTACTTTCCTCTTAGTGAGTTAACTCCTCCAGAGTGTGTTAAATGTAGATGATGTCAACCTAATCTATTATTATGGGATTTAAGTAGAGCTCTTCTTGAGATGGAAGATCTTTTCTTCTTAAGTCATCTGCAGACATTCAAGTAACTGGTGATTTGGTAGTTTGAGGTAGAAAAGGGCGTGTCACGAAGATGGGCCATTGCCTGCTAGCCTGGGGCTTTTCAGGTTGGGTTTAGGGCTGTATTATTGTGGAAGGAGCCCCAGAGCTGAGCTTAAAGGTGGAACGCCTGAGGACCCATTCCCGCCAGTCTTACTGCTTCTTGGCTGTGTGACTTCAGCTCTCCCTGGATGCAATTGATTCTTCTATGAAGAAGGGATAACGATACCTCCTTATAGTGGTATGGATCAATTAATTGATTAATGTGGGATGGAATGAGAAAGAGCATGTAAAAGTATCTATAAAATAGGTTTCATATCATGGCCTAGCACATTTATGTGTAGTTTTATTTATATGTAAGCATATATCTTATGCTATGTTGAGTGCTTGAGACAGGAAGTTTATATTGTAGTTCTTTGTTCTCAAGGGAGCTTATCATATTGTCAGATGACTAACTATATAATTTGAAAGATAAACCATAGTATAAGATGTCTATTGATAAGTTCCAAACACAAGCAATACAGGGAATCAAAGGAGATTCCTTCTGTTACAGTGCTGTGATTGGACCCCCTGCAAGGTCGAGTGAGAGCCCTATCACTGCCTCTCTTACCTCCAGCCAGGACTATGAATTAATCTTCTTGGGTTAGTTCTTGAATGAGACACTCCCTAGTCTTGGGGGTGATAAGCTGCGTTAAAAAAAATTATCGGCCGGGCACGGTGGCTCACGCCTGTAATCCCAACACTTTGGGAGGCCAAGGCGGGCAGATCACCTGATGTCCGGAGTTCAAGACCAGCCTGGCCAACATAGCGAAACCCCATCTCTACTAAAAATAAAAAAATTAGCCAGGCATGGTGGTGGGCGCCTGTATTCCCAGCTACTCTGGAGGCTGAGGCAAGAGAATCGCTTGAGCTGAGAAGGCAGAGGTTGCAGTGAGCAGGGATCACACCACTGCACTCCAGCCTGGGAGACAAGAGTGAAACTCTGTCTCAAAAAAATGAAAATTATCTATACAAATACTTTTGATGTAATTCATACTCAGGATATTCTCTGGGATCTTTTCTTAGGTAAAATCAAGGAACTCTTCAGCAAGGACACTATTAATGCTGAGACTGTGCTGGTCCTGGTGAATGCTGTTTACTTCAAGGCCAAATGGGAAAATTATTTTGATCATGAGAACACAGTGGATGCACCTTTCTGTCTAAATGAGGTACTGTATCAGAACTCACGGTTTTCTAGCTATCCAACTCATAATTTGCACTAGGAATGATGTGCAATATGTATACTCAAAAAGTTACAGCTTACATTTACAATAAGAACATTTTTCATTGATAAGAACCAGTACCTGAATTTCACTGAGTGTTTTTGTGCCAAGTGCTTCCTGCACTGAGTAGTTTTCCATTTGTTATGTCATTTGTTCCCCCAAAGAGCATTATGAGATGGGTGCTATTATGATTTCCACTTAGGATTTGAGACAAAAAATGGAAAGGCTAAGTTAGTTAGCCAGATTCATGCATTAGGATTCAATCTGTGAGCATTTGCCCCAGAAACCTGTGTTCCAAGATAGTAGATTTAGAAACGAAGGGTTGGGTCCCAGCCACCCACTTGTCAGCCAGCTAGCTTATTACCGGAGATGCATTTTTCTCTCAAGCACTGAATATCCCCATCTGCAGGTTGACGATCCCTCACCCGCCACCTTGAGGTTATTGTGAGATTTAAGGTGCGTGGGGTTGTGCCTTCCCAGGAGCAGGTGTTGTTATTTAAGATGGAGATGATTCTCACTTAACGATGGCTGCCCTTGGTGCTGTGGTGGGGTCATCCAGGCCAGCTGGCGTGGTGTGAGGCCAAGAGGCTGGGCTGGGGCAGGCCCTACAGTGGGACAGCTGGCAGGGCGTGTTTCTGCTGACTTAACAGTGGAGATGCTTTGATAGCTCTTGGGAGCTGAAGAACTGATTAAAAAACATGGAAAGGGCCAGGTGAGGTGGCTCATGCACGTAATCCCAGCATTTTGGGAGGCTGAGGAGGGAGAATCACTTGAGACTAGGAGTTTGAGACTAGCCTGGGCAACACAGGGAGACCCTGTCTCTACAAAAAATAAAAAAAAAATAGCCAGGTATGGTGGTCCGTGCCTGTGGCCCCAGCTACTCAGGAAGCTGAGGTGGGAGGATTGCCTGAGCCTGGGAGGGCACCACTGCACTCCAGCCTAGGTGACAGAGCAAGACCCTGTCTCAAAAACAAACAAGGAAACCCCCCCCCACCTCCATCACTCCACAACAAAAAAAGGCACTGAGAGATAAAGTGTTGGCAAAGTAAGGGCCACTGATGAGTGGGCAGACTCTTGCAGTCTGGATCCCTGGTGTGGCTCAGGACTTCTGCAGGACCTTCTCATCTTTAGGAACTCCTGTCCTCAGTGAAGCTGGGACCCTATGAATTTGGGAGCTTCCCATAGCCATCCTGTGACTTCCTACCTTGACTACACAGAATGAAAACAAGAGTGTGAAGATGATGACGCAAAAAGGCCTCTACAGAATTGGCTTCATAGAGGAGGTGAAGGCACAGATCCTGGAAATGAGGTACACCAAGGGGAAGCTCAGCATGTTCGTCCTGCTGCCGTCTCACTCTAAAGATAACCTGAAGGCTCTGGAAGAGGTAAATCTTCATTTCCACATCTCTACAAAATATTTAATGATAGATCCTTAGAGAACAACGCTGTCTACCATCTACCATCTTGAGGAAATACAGTACCTCAGCTGTCAGACATCAAGGAATGTATAAGAATCTGCATTAGATTAGATATCTATCCTCATTTGTTTAGAAGTAAACAACAAAAGCCAGAAATATTGGGACTGGGTTTTCTTCTTTAACCTCATAGCTCTCTGCCACTGTTTTAGCAAACTGAGGAATCTGGGTTCTGAATAACTTGAGAAGTGTTTAAGCTTTTCCTTTTCTCTGAATATCCTGACTTCTGGCCTCTTACCCAAACCATTTTTCTATAGCTCAGTTAAAGAATTAACTGAATCCTGTTTTGGGGAATAGGTACCTTGACAGAAGCGTAGAGGTGACCCCAGAATTGATTGCTTGCCAGGCAGGAATTAATAAAGGCTGGAGAAGCTCAGCTACAGATTTTGTCCAAGGGGGTAAAGAGATAAAGATAGAAACAGAGAGAAAGTGAGAGAAATACCAATACAGCAGGCAGAGTAATTACAACATCAGTAACAACCATTATTCAGAATTTGCTACGCGCTATCACTGTGTTAAGTACTTTATACACATGATTTCGTTAATGCTTGCAAGAACTTAATCGTATTATCTCTGTTTTATGGAAGAGGAAATTTAACTTCAGAAAATTAGGGCTTGGCCACAGCACCCAACTAATCGACTGAGCTTTGCTGTGCTTTGAACATTTGTCTGTCAAACACCAAAGCACACTGGAACCTGAGTTGTCCCCTAACTCTTTGCAAAGAGGAAAGATATTTGCTTGAAGTTTTAAATGAAATCAGACTATTCTCTGGCTTAGAGAAAGGCCTTGAAGGTCGTCACCCACCACTGAAATGGACTCAGGCACCTTGAAGTAATTGGGGCATTCTTTGCGGTCCCATAATCTGACGCTAAATATTATTTCCTTTCTCTTGTAGCTTGAAGGGAAAATCACCTATGAAAACATAGTGGCCTGGAGCAGCTCAGAAAACATGTCAGAAGAATCGGTGGTCCTGTCCTTCCCCCGGTTCACCCTGGAAGACAGCTATGATCTCAATTCCATTTTACAAGACATGGGCATTACAGATATCTTTGATGAAACGAGGGCTGATCTTACCGGAATCTCTCCAAGTCCCAATTTGCACTTGTCAAAAATCATCCACAAAACCTTTGTGGAGGTGGATGAAAATGGCACTCAGGCAGCTGCAGCCACTGGGGCTGTTGTCTCGGAAAGGTCACTACCATCTTGGGTGGAGTTTAATGCCAACCACCCTTTTCTCTTTTTCATTAGACACAACAAAACCCAAACCATTCTCTTTTATGGCAGGGTCTGCTCTCCTTAAAAGGGAAGCATTGTCTAGTACTTTGGAGCTGGAGGAAAATGTCAATACAATCTTCCCCTGGCATAAGATGGGCATTTGAGGTTTTGGTAATATCTAAAGCATCCCCTTCATCCTCCAGCCATCAGCCTGTGCTTATCTTCATCTTTCCGTCACCCTGTAGCTTATTTTCATCTGAGTCTGTTAGTATTGAAGGGCTATTGTTCTCTACCCTAAACTTTCAAGCGTATACATTCACCCTCTGTGACCTGAAGGTCAACACAATTCAGAACAGTACCTACCTCCTTTTGAAGGAATCCTAAAAGTTCAGGTCGTTAGACCATTTCTAAGAGATAGCAAACTCAGAAGCCACTTTAACATGGGCAGCAAGAGAACATGTGTGACTGGAACGTGTTTGGAGACTCAGCTCTCTTTCTGGGGTAGTTATGATTGTGGTCATCACTGGGCAAGATGCCCTGTTTCTTCCTTTGACAGCTACTGCATGGAAGACGTCCTGCGAGGTCTTTTCACCTAGGAGAAGGTACGGCTTGGGTGTATTTAAGTGATAGCTCAAAGACGTGTGAATGCCCCAACCAGCACTCATTTTGCACAGAGCAGGGGAATGATATTTGTCTTGTGATTTTGATACTGACCCAGAAAAGTGGCTAGTGGATTTAGAGGAGGTTTATCTCAATTTTCCTTGTTGGGTCCCCCAACATTATCATCAAACACTTCCCTCTGTCTCTCCTCCCGCTAGCTCCAAGAATTCCCACCTTTGGCTAGTTCCTCTTACACACCCAGCACAGGCAGGTGTGGAGAGGAATGCTGCTGCCATTGTGGATGGCTGGCCTCCTTGTGCTCCTCTCTCTGCCTTCTGGCCATGTGGACTTTTGTGTCTTCCCAGAGGTCTCATTCCAGGCCACATGGTGAGAACAGGCTTGAGCCTGGGCATGGTGTCCATAGAAATGCTTGTTGGCTGGGCATGGTGGCTCATGCCTGTAATCCCAGCACTTCTTGGGAGGCCAAGTCAGGTGGATCACTTGAGTCCAGGAGTTCAAGACCAGCCTGGGCAACATGTTGAGACCCTGACTCTACAAAAAATACAGAAATTAGCCGGGCGTGGTGGCATGCACCTGTAGTCCCAGCCACTCGGGAGGCTGAGGTGGGAAGATCACTTGAGCCCAGGGGATGGAGGCTGCAGTAAGCTGAGATGGCGCCACTGCACTCCAGCCTGGGTGACAGAGGGAGACCCTGCCTCAAAAAAAAGACAAACAAAAAAACCCAAAAAGCCAAAACAAAACCCAAAATCCTTGTCAAGAAGGCCATTGGGCTCATCTCAAGCTCTAGTCTACTGAAGGCCTGACCCCTGAGTGTTCCTACTCACGGACTCAGGGCCTCTGTTCTCTGGTGTGTAATGTGAGTTCTTCATTTCTGTCTTAGCTGAATGTTCTGCCGTGACCACTGACATGTCTGACTCACATCTCTTTGGAGTCAGTCTCTTTCCTATTGAGGTGGGTTTCAGGTCTTGCTTGTGGCTCAGTTTCCTTGGCCCATCTTGTGGCTGTTCTCCTCCCAGCTGCCACCAAATCATTCAGCGTGGCCGCAGCAGTTTTTTTGTGGGAGAAGGCAGGTGAACCACACCTGCTCCCAGGCTAGCCTCCTCTCTCTTTTCTCACCTACCCCAGTGATTTCTTTGTGCTCTGAGAGACAAGTTCCACATTCTCCATACAACCCTCTCATTGTTGAAGCTCATGATCTAAAACAATTCGTTGTTGGTAACGTGAGGCAGTTTGAGTCAGTGCCTTTTCCAGAATGCATGTCCCATGGGTCACATTTATTTCAGATAACCAAAAACTTCATGTCCCCTGTGGTTCCTTTTGGGGTTGACATTTTGGGGTCTGTTTCCATGTCTGACTTGGCATCACTGCCAGATACCGAGCTGGAAACCATGACCTGTATATAAGCCTGCATTGCCCGGCATTTCTTTTGTTCTTATTCTTTTACTTGGTAAACACATTTTTTTTTCATTTATATCGGGATTTCTCATATTTTAAAGCATGAGAGGGAGAATGTATCTATTTACAATAATGAGGAAAATTAAGAATCTTAAATTTTTATGTAAATCATAAACATTCTTTACTAACTTTTGATTTATTAAAAAATTTCTTCTGAATGAATAAAGCACTTTTATTATTAGTTAAAATATATACGATGTGTTGCCAACTGATTTTTTCAGGGATATGAATCTAACTTCAAACTGTTTCATCCAAAAATATAAAAATACATAATCTATGAAACTAACAATTCATTTCAGTTACACAGGAAAAAATACATTTTGCCCCAGTAATAGTTTCTCCCAGCTTTCCATCATAATTACCCTATGAAGGCATATAAAACAGATGAAAACTGACAATGCTAAAACTGGAGTGATAGCCAACTGATCATCAGAATATAGAAGAAATTTCTGCTGACTACAAGTTTTTCCTTTTTTTTTCTTTGAGATGGAGTCTTGCACTGTTGCCCAGGCTGGAGTGCAATGGTGCAATCTTGGCTCACTGCAACCTCTGCCTCCTGGGGTTCAAGTGATTCTGAAGCCTCAGCCTCCCAAGTAGCTGGGATTACAGGCACCTGCCACCACGCCCGGCTAATTTTTGTATTTTTAGTAGAGACAGGGTTTCATCATGTTGGCCAGGCTGGTCTTGAACTCCTGACCTCAAGTGATCCACCTGCCTTGGCCTCCCAAAGTGCTGGGATTACAGGCTTGAGCCACCACACCCGGTACCTGCTGACTACAAGTTCACGAGTCTGGGCAGTGAGGCATTGTCGAGGGGTCATCAGCATCTCATTGCCAGTAAGTAGTCTGCCTGTTTCCTCCCATTGCTGCCTTCCTCTGAGTTCAGAAACATAAGCTCTCTCCCAACTTGAATTTTGGACGTCTATCTCTTTACTTTGTACTTGCTGCTGTCCTTCACCCTCTCTCTTTCTTACAAGTTAGTTTTTTTTTTCTGCAGCCGTTTGAAGACTGAATGACCTCCCAATTATGATTTGGAAGAAGGTGAGGACAGGCATTTGTTCCTTCCATCCTAGGCAGTTTAGTCATCAGAAATAAAATACTTTTGGTGAAGCCAAGGACAGGAAGAGCCTTGGTGGCAGTGTTCTTGGATATTTTATCTACGCTGTCTGTTTAAAGTGTCCCAGACCCAGGCCATACAAGGAGGAGAAGATTTACCTGAGCCCAGCAGAACTACACTAGATGGAACCCTTTCAGACACTGGAAATTATGCTCCAAACAGGGAGATCTTGACTCTTCATTTTTCTTGCACCAGCAAGATTGACCCAGCAATATGGTGCCCAGGGGTAGAAAGAACATACAAGTTGGTAGGCCGATATAATTGCTGGAAAGCCAACCAGAGAATGATTTTAAATCAACAAGAAAATGAGCTCCCCACTTCCTCAGTTTAAGCTTTCCTCCACATAGCAATGTTGACAGGTAGAACAGATGAGGTAATATAGATTCAAAGACAATTGTTTCACTTATGCTGACTGTAAATATTCTGGTAAGAGACACATGGACATATAGTACTCCACAGACTCCCTAATACATCCAGAATCTGTATGTTCAATTGCATTTCAAGTCCTCCTTAGAACTTCATACACTGTCTAGTGCATAATTCTCAAACTCCTCTGCAGTTTTTTTCCTTGAGCTGGGACAAGCCAGAACATGTGTTGCTTCATTCCTAATTGCTGTTTACAGCTTTTGCATGCTGGTATTTTTAAAAATTACAGTGTCATTAACCCGAGGCGGAGGTCCAATTGGAGCAGCAGGGTGAGGAAGCTTGTGCAGTTGTCTCAGTGGATTTCTTTGCTCCACACTTGAATGCCAATTCCAGATGTGTTCTTGATCCACACCACTCATCTGGCATTCTTAGTTTCCCAAATCCGTTTTATTTTCTCCTTACTCAATTAAAAGAATCCAAATCCTCTTTTTACCCAATAAAAATAGAAAATATCCCCAAATATGCATACTTAAGTATATTAAGCATATTAATATATGTATTAAGCATATTAAGTAATACTGTATTCACAGTGTTTATATGAAGCATAATATATCCTTAATATTTAATTTATAAATGCTCATATTCTAATGCAATAAATTTTCCATTTAAACAATGTTTTCTTACATGTGCATCAACAAAGTTTTAGCTACAGATAGGTGAAAAGGATTTGAAAAGTAACCCAGTGCACAACAGTGGGGCTGAGAAATTCGCACACCCCTTGTTGACACACATAAGTTCTGAACAGATCATTCCGTGTTCAAGATTAAATAAGTGGAGACAAAAGTATAAGGTATGAAAAAAATAAGTGCTGAATAAGAAGAGATATATCATGTTATAAATGAGAGAGAGAGCGAGAGGGAGGGAGGGAGAGAGAGAGGCTGACTTCATAAAATGATATACAGCAAGAACTGGAAGAAACTTTTAGAAAGCTTTTGGGCATAATTAATAGGATTTAAGAAGACACAAAATCTATGGAATAGTGTAATGCTGCGAAGATAAACTCTGATAAGATGTGAAAAAGCTAAATGAGATAAAAACAGACCACTAGGGAATGAAAAAATGCAATAGATGCAATAGAAGAATTTAAATAGACTTTAAAGGCAATAAAGAAGCAAAACAGAGACACCGGAAACTTTAGTTAGTGATGAATAGGGTGTATTTGAGTGTGTCTCTTAGAATGTATGGGAAATAATAAGAGAGAAGTTGGTAGATATAAAGAGAGAATAGAAAGTAAACCCAACAACTATGGTGTTTCTCAGGAAAAAAGAAGACTAATTGGTATAAAGTCAACAATCCAAGACATGATGGAAGAAAATCTTTTTAACTTGGATAGTCACAGGATCATACTCAATGATTCCCTCTTCCCCTGCAGAGCAAAAATAGACATGCTAAAAAACTTTAAAAGATTGAGAAAGTAATCCTATCAGCATTTGGGCAAAAAAAGAAATAGTTACAATGTATAAAGGA